AAATTGGAAATTTCGTTGAATTAATATTGCAAAGCAATTGAGAAGATGCATGAACGCCACTATGTACGACACGCAGCCATATCACTCAGTGTCTCTAACGATCGATTACGATTGTTCCAAGGTCCCCATCCGGGGAGCATAACGGGACCTATGTGACCCAGACTCCTGGTTAGGGTTTTCATACCCTCATGTCAGGTGTTAGCTTGACCACCCTTGGCTTTTTTCCACCCACTTTCTGCCTCGGCAAACATCACTCGCCTTAGCAACCTATTTGGTGACATGCTTAGCACATTCTCCAACCAACGTAATCTATGGAGGTCGACGACTTCCTTCAGTGAGCGAGTACTTCGAATTAGATTGCCAGCACATAACTGACTTGAATACCGGGTAACTGACCGGAATATTCCACTTGGTTTATAGAACGTAACCGATCTTTGCAGACTATTTGTGCACAACTAACATTCCTCGCCCAAACACGACACTACAGACATTATTACTCGGTTGCAAGTATTACGAACATTGTTTTATTTCCACATGAAAGTACTAGTTGTCCGAAAGATCGGCTGGCTATTGAGGTTCACTGAGGTCTGCCGCACCAAGCCACAGAGATTTTGAGTTTTCATTGCTCTTTATTATACGTGACATTTATCCCCGTTGGGTGGATGTTCGATGTGTTACGGTTAGCGGTTTGTACAAGAATTGACAAACCGTCGGGCGCCCAACAGCTACTCTTTGGTATATATATATATATACAATCAACACCGGCTTGCGGACAAGCATGTTACCAACGCCAAAACAATAATTACGATAATTAATAACGAGAGTGGTGGAGGGGATACAGAACATAAGAAAAAAGACGGAACTGGTAAAATGGAAAATAACAAATAAATGGGATGGGTTGTACATTTCCTTCGGGTATTGATGTCAATCCTGAATGTTGAAAGTGAACCGATAGGTTATGAATTTCCGTTTACGATGAACGAACTAAACGTAGTCATTGTCAAGAACCTATCATGATTAGTTAGTTTTCTTATAGCTTTATATCGACTTGCACTGCTACATGTAGGAATTCACGATGTTCTGTTATGATTTTCACATTAGTGCTTTCAGGTAATGGAATTAATCAATTTGACGAAAATCTTCTAAGACGGAAACGGTACTACTACAAATTTGCGTTTTACTATTTTTGTTGGAGAAAATATATTGTTATCGTTTCTACATTACATATTACTTTTCCGACTATTTAATGGGTACTGGTCAATTGGAGAACACAGTAGCTGCTTCAGCGAACCGCAGTGATTTTGAGATTTGGTCTAGCATAGACAAAACTAAACGAAAAGAAATAAATATTCTCCCGTCTATTGGTCTTTTTACTGTATAGATATGATTTCTAAAGTGCCCTTGAAACCGATATCATGCGTATGTAAGATACACCACTTCAACCGTTCAATTCGGTAAAAATGAATAATGAGAATAGCGTTTGATCGTTAAACCAGATTACTGACAACATCCTCTAATGAATTTCTGCAGAGGGTTTTATGCTGACATGGAAGGAAGTAAATCACTGGTCACGTATCTGCAGCCAAATAAGAGAAGAACCTGGAATCAGAGGTACTTTAATTCTTTTTAGGGCGTTGTCTGTTTGCTGGAAACTGGAGGGAAAACAATGTGAAGAAATGTCCTACCACTCATCCGCATGGCGTGACTCGGAACCATTGGGGGAATAAAGTTGAAGCTTTCTAGTTGGATGGTTTTGGTTTGTCAAGTAGAATGGGGTGGGATGGAAAAAGACTAGCGGTTGGTCAGGTTTGACAACTTTGTTCTTCAAGTAGGCTCCTGGAGAATCGGAGACACGTGCCACGCGGTCTCATTCTCTTTCTTCCAACCTTAAGATGGCCACTACGAAGGCTGAGGTCTTGACAAATTCAGCAAGTCAATCAACCAATTGCACGTTCACTGTCCCCCATGGGGGTATCTTTGGGTGTGATTTTCACGCGCACTATCGTTATCTTGTTTGTCTGTGAATTGCGCACGCATCCGTTTCTCTCCATCCCGAGAGGAAAAGATGAACACCGGTGGTGTGTGTGTGTGTGTGTGTGTGCGTATGCGTCGGTGTGATTTGGGCTTAACACCACCCCTTTGGGTTTAGCTGTGAACGGCTTCTGTCCGGCGGTCATCATCGTGCCTGCTCGCTCTGTGTACATTTGTGTGTGTACGCGCGTGCACACACATACGCGTGCCGAGCTCGTGCACCAGTGTCCTCAAGGGGCGGGGAGAATCACAGGCGACGGCGCAATGCAGGGGCTGCACTGAGAGCAGCACGTTTTTTGGTCCCAGAGTTGATCAAAAATTCATCAGTCGTTACGCAGAGAACCACAACGAGCAATTCATCTTCCACGCTAGACTAAGGCAAATAATGTAAAGACCACGTGAAGAGCGAGCGATGTGAGTGGATGTTTGATTTTCTAGCTACTCTTAGTCCTGCATATTACGCAGTATGTTGAAATGTGTATTTGGATTGAGACAAACAACTGACTGTGATTTTGACTGCCTGACTTCGATATTCGGACGGACCGATTGATTCTTTTCTGTTCTGTCTGTCTACGCCCATAACCAATACGATCCAAACACGAGCGATGGGCAGACAGGCGAACAGCTCAGAAAACAGTCCTTTCTGTTTTGGGTTTGAGGTAGTCAGCTCTTTCGCATCCCCATCCCACCCGAAACTACCCAAACTCTGGCAAACCGTGCACGATGGGAGTGGGGTAAGACAGTCAACATTACCCGTGCGGACGGATGTTAACGGCGCTGACAAGCTATTGGGAGGGAAGGGGGCAGTGTCGTCTTTATTATTCTTGCTGTACGGCTATACCGTGCTAGGACGAGCGCGTTAAGCTGTGCCTCCGAATGAAATATTCATATGATGACTGAACGAACATTCCCAAGGCACTTATGTACGTGTTTCTGTGCGGACATGAGCTGTTCTGAGGGAGAGGGAGATGAATGTACACGTGGATAGAATAGGCTTGTGTGTGCATGCGTGTGTGCTCCATTTGACATACCTATAAAGCTGTTTGCATACTGCGTTGATTTTTCGGAGTACACTAACGGACTGGAGTGCAACCAATGAGACTAACAAACTAATAACACTTATACTCAATCACAGTCCCTTTGTCGACTGAAGCACTACCCCTTCGAGCACAAGCCTGATTTGGATAGAGTTTGTTTCTCAACAAGAGAAACGCAGAAAAGGTGATAATGTTCCTTCTGAACACATTTCGATGCACACCGAACTGTGAATGAAGACTGTCAAACGAAACTCTCCCCTACATCTATCAAGCGCACCCAGGGACAGACAAACAATTATACGGTTGTATTTGAAAACTGAGCTTCATTCACCAAAGCTGAACGAAACAAATGTAATGATCTATTACTATCTGTGTTATCACGCTGTAAGTGATTTGTCGCCAGCTTGAAAGCTGATTAGCTAAGAGTCATAACAAAGTGTTTCTTTGAAATGAATACATGTGATTGGACATGAAATACAATAGCACCTATAGTAAACGACACATCAACTGTTACAACTTAGTTAACCTCTTAAGCCTTTCATTGTCGTGAAATATCTCATCGGTCGGACAAGTTACTTCATTAGATACACAATCTAATCAAAGGAACAGTTTCAGAGATCTTTGTTTCTCCTTTTCTCTATAATGCAATTGAATAGGATATGTTGAGAGCTGTAAATATGCTTATTTCCTTACTTAAAAGATCACAGGAAACAAGAAAAAAATGAAATAAATTTGGCTTTTCATTCCGATACACTTAATAGAAGAGGAGTTCATAATAGTTAGTATAAGCCTGCATACTGGCATATAAAAAACAGTTCATAAATCATCACTGCTATCTGCGTTGCAGTCAATGCGTAGATGCACAGGAGTGCACA